CCTCCTCCTTCCCCTCCTTCCCCTCCTTCCCCCCGGCACCGGGACCCTCGGGCCGCTCGCCCGGGCCGGGGCGGAAGGGCTGGAACTCCCTCCCGAGGGATCCCGGGCCGCAGGTACGGCCAGAGCCCTGCCCGGGCACAGGGGCGGGACAGGGGGCTCGGGGAGAAAATCGGGGATTGGGGACAGAAAAGGGAGGGATTGGGGACAAATACAGGGGTTTGGGGATAAGAATAGGGGTCTGGGGATTAAAAGAAGTTTTAGGGAAATAATTAGGGGTTTGGAGGGAAAAAATAGAGGTTTTGGGGAAAAAAATTTGGGTTTGGGACAAAAATAGAGGTTTGGGGGGGAAAGTGGGGGTTTAGGGACATAAATAGGGTTTTGGGGATAAAAAATAGGGTTTGGAATTTACCCAAAAGGTGGGGGAAGGAGGTGGCAGTGTGAGGAGCCAGTAGAAATAGGGAAAAGGGGGATATGCCCAGTGATACATTGGTTCATGTCATCCCCCCAAAAGCAGAGGTGGATCCCCTCCATCCCAGCCCCTGTGCTTGGGGATGCTGTGTCCCTGCCCCGAGCCAGCCCAGCCTCCTGTCTCCGCAGCTTTCTGCCTTCCAAAATGCAGGATCTGCCTCTTTTGGTCCCCTCTGGGGCTGCGTGGGCAGGAGTGTGATTCCAAACCACGGGGGCTCTGGGCCTGGGGTCTCGGTTTGTTGAGGTTGGTGTAACCAGCTCAGCCTCACCCTCGTGGCAGCACCGAAGCCGAACACATGTCCGAGTCCAGATCTGCTGGGTTTCCCCCCACTGGGAGTCACGTCCCAGCACCGTGGGCTCGCGTGGCTCCGTGAGCCGCTAAACCGCTGCCGTGTCCAAAATAACCCCGCGGTGCTGCGCATCTGCTCGCTGGCATTGTCGGCAGGGACATCCTCTCCCGGGGGCCGGCCGGCTCCGGACTCGCCTTTTGGCCGCTCCTGCAGGGATCGGCCATAATCCAACCCGCCACCAAACCCTCCTCGGTCTGCTTCCCACCACCTGCCAAGGTAGCCCCGCCTGGAGCCGGAGGATGCTTTCCCGCCTGGCTGCCTCGCCGCTCCATCCCTTGTCACTCCACGGGAATTTTTCTGGCTTTATTTGTTATTTATCCCCCTGTGCGGCAGCAGAAATCAGGGCAGGCGGGGAGGAGGAGGAGGAGGAGGCAGGGAGCTATTTCAGGGAGCTGCTGTTATCTGCTCCACGTTAATCCCCAGCTGCTGGGGGGAAGGTTTTCCCTGAGTGCTTTCCTGGGAGGGCATATATTAAACATTGAAAAGCAAAGCGAGGAAGAAGAGGATTAGCAGAAGAGAGAGAGGAAGCTGGCTGCTGGCTTTGCTCGGGTTATCCATCTGCTCCACTTTTATGGATGCAGCAGTGTGAGCAATATCACTCGGCATTTTTTTGTGTTGCATTTTTTTCCCTCCTTGCTCTCTCCACCCCTTTCTCTCTTCCCTCTCAGAGATCTGTGTGCCGAGCTGCTTTTCCATCACCCTGGAAATCCCCTCGCTTGCCTTCCTCCAGGTTGTGCTGTAGCTGAGCTGTTGGGATAATGGATCTCCAGGCTGTGGTATCCACGCTGGAAAGTGGGGAGCAGGACACGGTTCTCAAGGTGCTCCAGGTCTACAACCAAGAGGTGAGTGAGCATCAACCCCTCCCTCAGCTCAGGGACTCCTAAAAGAAATTATTATCCAGATCCAAAGTAAAACCTGGCTGGGAAATAAGAGTCAGTGTGAGGACTGAGTAGGAGGAGCTTTTATGTTGAGGCAGTTTTGGAGGTGCTGAGAGAGTCCAGGGAAGAGCTGCAGGTGAAGCGATGTTAGGATTTGCAAGTCAAAGATGATTACAGGTGGCTGCTGGGATCTCATATGGGCACGGCTCTGAAAGCAGTAAATAATGAATATAGACTATCAAACCCCAATGATCTGGAAGCAGAGATGGGAGTGTTTCTAGCCTTAAAGTAGGAAAAGGTTATCCATGGTGGCAAATCTCTGCTTGGAGAAAGGAGAGTGAGGGGAGACCTCAGCCATTTACAGCTTCCTCCTGAGGGGCAGTGGAGGGGCAGCTCGAATCTCTGCTCTCTGTGACCAGTAACAGGACCCAAGGGAACAGCTGGAGAGGTTTAGGTTGGATATTAGGAAAAGGTTCTTCCCCCAGAGAAGAGCACAGAACAGGCTCCCCAGGGAATGGGCACAGCCCCAAGGCTGCCAGAGCTCCAGGAGCATTTGGACAACGCTTTCAGGCACAGGGTGGGATTGTTGTGATGTCTGTGCAGGGCCAGGAGTTGGGCTGAATGGATCCTGTGGGTTCCTTCCAGCTCAGGATATTCTATGGCTCTGTGAAATCCTGTTTGAAACAGGCTCTGGTTGTCAGGGAAATTTCCTTTGGAGGTTTCCCCTGGGAAGGGCTGGCCCTGTAGATCACTCTGACTCACTCTGCACCAGGCTGGAGTAGGTGGAAGCCAGCAAAGGGAAAACCTGAGGAATATTTTGCAAGAGTGTGTGAGAGAGAGTGTGTGGAACTATTCCTAACAGTCGGATTTGGAACGGGGAGACACTGGCCAAGAAGGAGCAGGTGTCTGTTAAGGACAGCACTGAGGATTAACAGCACCAGCAGCAGGTGCAGCGCTGGCATCCTTGGAGTGCAGTGTCTGTGTGCCCCCAAACCACAATATTTCCTGTTGGATTCCCCCAGCTGGGTCCTTCCTGTGGTATCAGGCCCAGGGAACTGGAACCACTGGGGTTGCTGGCCCATCTGGAGGAAATGGAGCAGTCAAAGAGGATTATGAAATGGCAGATAAACCTGGCATGGCTTGGCATTGCTTCTGCCACAAGACTGATGGTTCTGTATCCTTTTCCTGTGGATTTATTTTAATTCACTGTTGTGCACACAGATTTTGCTTGCTGGGAATAAACTACAGCTAAAGCAAAACCCCAGGTGTGGCCAAAATATCCCCAAATGGGATTACAGCCTGAAGAGAGGATGTTCTGAGGGAAGAACAAGCAGCCTGCTTGTGGAACACGGCAGTGCCAGGACTGAGCCATCAGCTCCTGGTGATGTGGATGGATCAGCTCTTGGAGCTCACAGACAGCCTGGCTGAAGGACACCTGTCCTGCCCTCACACCTGGGGCTGCTCGAGGCACTGTGTCCATCGCTGCTTCCAGGTGGGACAGAACCAGTTCCATCCCTGGGCTCTTGGTGACTGCACACACATGATCAGTGTTTTATAGATTTTAAGCATTTTCATTCTCCAAGCTGGGATCAAACACTCTCTTGGTATGAACAGGGATTGCCACAGTCACTGGAAAGTGCTGCTTCTCCCCAGGCACCTGGGGATCTCCCATGCTCTCCAGTTCTATGGGAGCAGGTTTGGTCAGGAAGGAGACTATCAGTGAAGAACAAACAAAATGAATAGCAAGAGAAATACAGTGAATGGAGATCATCAGTGTTTCTTAGCATGAGGACAGGATGGAGTGTGGAGATCAAGTCCCTTGTGTTTAAAGAACAACCTGGATAACCACGAGGATCCATTCCCATGTACCAAGGAGACAGGACTTCTTTTGGTCAGGAGAAGGAATAATAAATATCAAGGGGAGACGTGTAGGCACAGCTCAGTGGCATTGCTGAGCAGGGGAATTACCGGCTCTTATGGGATATTGGGATTGAGATGAATACTCACTGTGCTGCTGCAGTATATAAACTAAATCCATCTGTCAGCTGGCCTGTGGCATTCCACTGGTGCTGTGGATCCAGGGGTGATGCCCATAATGTGGGGGGGTCTTGTCAAGACAAACTGTGTGTTTGCTGTTGCAGCACATTTTGGACCCACTGCTTTCCAGCTGAATGGCTCTGCCCTGGTCCCATGGAGTTTTAACCTATTCCTTTTTATGACTGATTTTGTTTTTCCCACAGAAATCTCAGTGCTTCATCTTTGAGGATGAGGAGCGGGAAGAGAGGAAGGTAGGTACATGCTGCTTGCTGTCCTTTGGTCAGTGTGTAAATCTGCTGCTCTGTACTCATGTCCAGCTGGGCTTGGCAAGCAGCTCCCACAAGAAAGGAAATGAGAGTTTTCCATTAACTTGGCTAGGGAATGGTGTGCCTGGAGTGACTGGCTCTGTTTTTTCCATCAGTAGTTGGTGGTTTTGGATAAGGGTTGGCATCCATCTGACACTAGTAATGGTTCCCTGATCCATATAGTCCCAGCCATGGATGTGATCTCTGGTGCCTCTGGACAGGGATCACAGCAGTGCTGGCTCCTGGGGAGGGTGAGGGGCTCTGCTGGGAGCCAGCAGTGGGATTTGTCAGGAGCTGTGTATTAGCAAATCCTTTGAGCTGGTGTAATCTGGCACTTGGAGGGAAGGAACACTCTGCCTGCTCATTCCTGCTCCTGCACCTCTTTGTGCCAGGGCAGGCCTCAGCCTGGCTCTTCTGCCATAAGAATGACTGTTTTCCCTGGGTTATTTTCCAGCTGGCTCAGTTCTGTGGTCAGTTCACTGGTGGATGGTGCCAATGCCTGTGTTAGCACAGCAGGTGCAGGCCAGGCACCCCGGCTGGAGAGCAGGACCTCCTTTGGCTGTGCCAGGGCCAGCTGCTGGCACATGGAGCGTTCCAGGCACAGCCTGAAATGTGGAACTGGATCTGATGAGATCCGAGCTCTTTGCCTTGCACTGACCCGCTGTTTGAGCTGGGACAGTCACCCAGGACGTGGCTTCAGGTACATTGTCCCACTTTCAGGGTGTATGCCATGAAATATGAGATGAACATCACCACTACTTCCTGGTGCTTGGGTGTTCAGATGGTTCAGCTTCAGGCACGCACCCCCAGATCTCTTTCCCCTGAGTCAGCTTGAGGCTTTGGTTGCTGGGACTGGATCTGAAACTGTGTCCCTGTGAGGAAGGAG